AATCTTTGGCGCTGGTTCGACCTTTTCCCCCTTGGAATAGAGTAATGAGTTTCTCTGGTAGATGCTCTTGGCTGAGTCGATCGGGTCTGCCAATTGTGAGTAAAGGGAATTCACAATGAGGTGCAGCTCAACTTACAGATCATTGCCCACGATACTAAACCACACATGCCACCAGCGGTAACAACAGCCACTTTGTTACTGTTGGGATGATCGCCAGCCAATGTGTTTCCAATTTGTTTCCCGCTTTCATACACCATAAAATAGATAGAAGTGCCTAATGTGTCACGAACTACAAATTGTTAGCTAGTGCAGAAACCACATCATTCAAATGGCCACTCACGGAGATGAAGCTTCAGGCCAGTATACAGACCAAAAACACCCCGGTGTTTTATGATGTTCGCCATTGTCCGCAAGGTGCCCTTATTTTGGTAGCTAGCTGCCACAGCGTGACTACCTTTGTTGGTCGAACCGCGTTCAGCGAGCAGTACAGAGACCTGCGCACTGAGCTTGGTGAGCTCGAAAGGACAGGCGAGAAAGGTTATACAAGAGCCAGCGGTCGCACCAGCAGCGCCAAAGCATGCGACCGAGTAGAGATTCGGATATGTGCCAGGACGATTAACATGGCCAATGATATCAAAGCCGAAGTTCCGCTTAACCCAAGCGGAATAAGAGTATTTGGCACGTTGGTAGATCGAAAAGGAGACGGTGCGGACAAGCGTTATGCTTGCCATCGGTGCTGTGACGCCTGCAGTGTCGGATTAGTCAATTGCGACCGACTACACCCTGTCAATTGGCTGCAACATACCTCGAAAGAAGCCGCCAAGCTTCTCAGCATGATATGTTTTGCGAACACAGTCGAGGAATCCATTATAGTGGTATGTCTGCATGCGCGTCTTGACGCTGTCAAGTGGGAAAGCGGCGAGGGTAGAGAATACGCTGGAAGAGCTGGCTGCGATTTCGGTTCGGTAACGTTTAACAAAACGGTTGGAAGGGCTATTTTTTGGTACTGCAGAGACGGCCGCACCCGTTGCAGTCAAAGCTGAGGTCTCGCCATCGCGTCGCCCTCCAGCGCCGAGAGGCATGCTGATGGCAGAAGTTGTTGCTGGAGATGGTGACGACAATTGCGATTGATGGCCTGTGACATCTTGGTGGGCCAGTTTAGCTCCAGTGGTCATTGCTTCCTCCCGTTTTCCGGGATAGAGAGCGATTGGACCTCAAACCGGAGCACCGACGAGAGGACACGGGCGTGCGCTGCCCAAGAGGTAGAGTATAGATATAGTCGAGGTATAGCTTTACTTGGAGGCGCGGTCGAAACACGGCCTATCGAGAGCAGCCGTAGGGTCCATTCAGACGTGAGGCACCGGAGAGTCGAGTACGGGTACAGAGACGTTTGAATGGAAAAAGATGATCGGGTGGGTTTGGAGGACCCAGATCGGAGGTCGGGGGCGGAGCGGCGTCGGGATATCGGTGGTGAGCGGCTCTTGACTTATGTCTCTGCACGGGCTCGGGCGTCCGGGTGCCCTCGGCAGAGGACGGCGACGACAACGGAAGCGACGATGCTGATGATTGCAGTTCCTTTACACAGAAGATCAATTAAATGGGAAAAGATAAGAAGAGGAGAGTTGGAGGATTAAGGTCTGAGGCCAAAGGTGGAGATTGATCTAGGTACCTGGTATGGGCAGCAGGAACTGACCTTACCTTATGGTGCGAGTTAATTGGTAGGAAAGGCAAGGTAGATCTTGACGGGAAGGAAGTGGTAATGGGGGACGGCAGGCACTGGCGGGGGAGGAACGGGTCATGCCTGCCTCCCGGACTTGCTACTTTTCTTCGGTGTCAAACTTCCAAACCAAACCCAACAGCCCCTCAGAGGGGAAGAAACAGCCCATCCAAGTTTCAAGGTCGCGGGGTTTGACCGAGCAAACGCCAAAGACACAATCCAACCTCTTTATTGATTCCCGGCTCCCTCTCGATGACACCTCTTCGAAGATCGTTTAGAGCTTCCGTGCCTGTAATTGATCCCTCCCATTCCCTGCGACTATATCTCAGCGGGTGCATCATCTGCCGGCCGGGGGCCGTTCATCACATGTTTTTGGGGAAATACTCGAGTTGACTTTATATGTACTACGACAACGACTTTCTTTCACCAGCGCTTCGATTTGAATCCTTGTCAACACCAATGCTCGAATATTCCAGTTATTGACTCTTCAGCCGAGATAACGTCCGTCGGCCCATTTCCGCGGATGCAATAACACAGCTAAAGCATCAACGTCCAAATTATGACCTGATATCCCATCTAGCCCATGTCATCAAGCGGACTTCAATGTCCGGGTAAGTTAGCTTGTTAGCTAAGTACCTTACCTTACTTAGCGTTCGTCCAATAACGACCACTACAAATCCTCACCCCGCAATCATAGAGTGATTTGGGGTTGGACAACCGCGTTAACCTCAGCACGAAAGGAACTCTCTTTGGCCGCTCCATTCTGTGCTTCACAAAGGATCACCACCACTAGGACCTCAAAACTCCCAAGATCGACGCCTCTCGATGCATTCAACCGTTGAGACTTTTGGCTATCATGCATCATGCCTTAAAGAGTAGTTGACTCGGCAGGATAAACCCAACCACTGCAACCAAACTGATCGTGAGTAAACCATGTATGGCGATGCATACATCTGACACATGGAGCAAGCAACCTCCTGCCCGAATGCAGTTGTGGTTTTCAGTTTATGCAAGTGTTGGTTGTCATCTTGACAGCTCGCACGCTGAGATACTGGTACTGTAATTTATTCTACTCGGAGGACAGACGTCATCCTTCCTCTCATGAGGTTCAGCAAGATGACGAGATCGCCATGGTAGACCTGCACACGTCTCTCACTCGTGGGGTCACTGATGTGAGGTCTGCAGCAGGGCTCGGCTTGCCTCTGGATGGTCTGTTCTCCGGCGAGCTCCAACTAGGAGAGCTTGACGAATCCCAGATCCAAGGTCTTCTAGACTACATATGCCACACGCCTGTGTCTCTGTTGGCTCAAGATCCGGTTGCTGTCTCAGCTGGAGCATCCTCTGCTGGGGTTGCCTGGCCCGTGGTGCCATTATTAGGAGTATCATAGCTTGCCAGCAGACGCTCCTCTTCCTTCTTCGAACGGACAGCCTCTGTCTCTTCACGAAGCTTCTGCAGGTTCCAGACATCGTCATCGTCATCATCGGAGTCGGAGTCGTCCTCATCTCTCCACTTGCCACTCTCGAACAGAGCACGACCAGTGTTCTCCTTGGCCTTGCGGGCTTGCTCCTCGGCTGCCTTCTTGTCGAGGCGATCCTTCTTCCACTTCGCGAATGTCTCTGGAGTGACTGGTGTGAGAGTACCGGTCAGTTTGTGTCGCTCAGACTCCAAGAAGTCCTCGAGTGTGAGAGTCTTGAGTGGTGATTTGTCCAAAAGCGCCTTTTCTGCTGCTCTTTGCTCTTTGGTCTTCAGGACGAATCTAAGTTGATGTTAGTGTAATTGCCAAGATATTTTGATGAAACGGGTCATACCCAGGTGGCAGCGCGTGCTTATACTTGCACTTATCTCCTCCGTTAGGGCAAATCCAGAACCAACCATACTTGCCATCCTCAATGGCCTCGATAAAGTATTTGCACACTTTGTCGGTTGTGGTTTGCTGGTTGCCCTTCTTGGACAAAACGACACTTCGCAGTTTGTCTTCGTCCCAATCTGCTGAAGTTTCGGCCTTCTTGTTCTCCTCTTCCTCTCCTCTTGAATCGTTGTACAGGTTCTTCTTTTCTGTCTTACGCTCAACAGAAAGGTCGTGTGAAAACTTGCACTTCTTGCCCTTCTCACAGTTGCCTTTCTTGTAAAAGATACACACAACTGTCTTGGGATCAACACCAAAAGGCACCTTCTGGACTTGTGCTGGTTTGTTCATCATAGCCTCCAGATCTCTCTTGGCTTCTTCGGCCGCCTTTTTCTCACGCTCACGAGCCTCCCTCTCGGCCTGTTTTTTCTTCTCCTCGGCTGAGCCACTGTTCTTGAGGTTCGCCTGCATGCGCGAAATTTCCCTCTGAGCAGCACCTCCCTTCTTATTTTTCATACCAAAAGTTCGGTCCTCGACCGTCTTTGTGGCCTTCTTGGCCACAGGCTCCTTACCCTTCTTGGGGGGCATGATGGGCAGTTGATGGCGGGGTAATCGTGGGTATCAAAAAGATATTCGATGGGATTCGGACGATCGTGAGGTCCGTTGAGGGTTCCTGTCGAGGTATACGCCCACGGTTTCGTGTTGGGAATGGAGAGAGGCTAAGCCACCAAATCTAGGTTGAAAAAAAAGACGAATGTCGAAGATTACTGATAGTTGGTGGGCTGGGCTGCCTTGGTGTGGAGGATGAAGTCACCGCTAGTCACGTGTCTGCCCAAGACTTTTCATCAAGGGCAAGTGGCTCAACGGGTATAAGTGATTAATGATGTCTATATTCCAGGCAAAATATTGTCGGTTACGTTAATCGGTAGAAAGTAAAAGAGTTTAATTTCTCTTCATCTTGATTGCGATAGGAACAAGGTAGCTCTTGTCCGGGATACGAAAACAGAATTGCGTACAAAATGAAATAAAAAGGTATTCTCATCTAGAAACGCACTCAGTTGCTCAGTGGGGATAGTTAGTGAGTCGGGAAATCTTTCAACTGCGGGCCGCGCTAAGAACCCCAGCAAGAATACGTACCTCACGGTACCTGTCTGTGCAACGCGGACACTCTAGAGCTCCATCTGGCCAGTTGAAGCTCCATATCCAACATCTACAGATAACTTACAGCCTCGCGTCCATCCCACTGCACTGTCACAGATCACTGAGAGCACTGACTCAATTCTGGCTTCTACCTAAACAACTCCCTTCCAGAATTAATACCCGGTTTGTCCTATCAACGCTGGAACGCTTGCGCGCAGACCAATGTACTGATCGAGAATCATCTAGCTCCCCAAGGACTACGCTGCTTCCCGCTCATCACCTTGATCACCGCAAATATGATCTCAGACAACGATCTCTACCGACTCGCAATTTTTTTCGGCACTTCAGCAATGATTCTCATTGTTCTCTACCACTTCCTCGAAGTCAACGCTGCGAAAGATCCGATTGAAGCCGGTAAGGAGGGAGTGTCAAAGTCACTGTAATTGCACAGTATCACGGTTACTGCGCCTTGTAATTTTTTACGAGAAGGGAATATCCAGTTTGCAGCAAAGACTGCTCGGCGTTAAGGAGAACTCTTTGGACGATCGATTCCGCCTATTCGGAAAGCAGAGTGTGGGCTCGATACAACTAGACTAGGGGGGAATATATGATCATTTGCTGGGAGGTTTTCAGCTATCTGCAATGCAATACTGGGAATCTCTTCCAAAAATTGTCTCAGTCGACTTGAAGTGAAAGCAACTGGGATAGGGGATTCGATGGTACACGTCAACGCCAGCCTATCACAGATCATATTTGCCTAGCATGAGCTATGCACGCATCCTTAGGCAGATTCTGCTAAGCAAATAACAAACGACACATCTTTGGTGGTCATTTGCTTCCCTCCTTGGAATTGCGCTCGTTTGTATTTGTGATGAAACTCTGTCTTGTCTGTGCAAACTGTCCCATTTGATACATGTTCCTATTCACATTGTAATTGGTGCCAGATGTTTAGAGTGTGGCGGTGCGAGGCTTATTGCTACTAAAAGAGACTAGCTTTGGTATAGCGCCACATTTAGACCCGCGCGCATTGAGCTGATTAGGCAGTAGAGGGCAACAGAAGGAGCAGGAAGCAGCGCCCACCCCGTGTTTTTCTGTGCCTTTGTCTCCCTCCATCCCTTGCCTCCCTCTTCCTTTCAACCTTCACCCAACTTCACTCAACTCCCAACTTCAACCGACACACGCCCACTTCTCAACCCAGCCCAAGCAATTTCTTCTTACTCGGTCGCCTTAATAACTCTCGCGCGCCTTTTGTTTCATCTCAAGCCTTATTACCACCTTTTCAAACCCCATTCCACATTCGCGACTTGCGCCGTCATCGAGCTCTAGTCTTCACCATTACTTAATCGCGTCTTTGACACCAAATCGCACGTGTCATTCGATATCTTCTGCTGATTTGACCAACTGCATCAGCTGGAACAGCAGATACAACTTTCTTCTCACGGGCCTATCCTTCTCAGCCTGCCTTTGACCTACTCTTGCCAACTTCACAAACACATTTCATCATGTCCGGCAAGCTCGACCAAGCTCTCGACGATATCACCCAGGCCCAGCGCCGTAGTGCTCGCCGCCGACCCAACCAGCGCCGTGGTGCCGGACGCCCTACCGCGGCTGCACCCGTTGGTGGTATCCAGAAGAGCACCAGGCCCGCACGCGGTGCGGGCGCAAAGCCTGCCCCAGCCAAGGCTACTCCTACCAACAGTGATAGCAAGATCATTGTGAGCAATCTGGTAAGTCGCAAGCACTGGTTTTTCAATTATATCCGTATACTAATATTTCAATAGCCTAAGGACGTCTCGGAGCAGCAGATTAAGGTATGTTTCCGTTGCGGCCCTTGAAGCCCTCGGACTTTGTTCGACCTTTTCTCCTTCGCCGCTCTCATTTTTGCCTTCGACGTCGCGTACTCCGACCAGTTTGTTGGCTCGGCCTAAGCCTGGAGCTATCGGACGCCCATTCTCCTTCTTTGACTCGGTAAAACCTGGAATATGGTACTGTGTCAGAAGTCGAGATGACCCTTGTCGCGCAATGATACTGTAGGAATCGCCTGGTCAGCGTTCCTCGCCTACGTAGCGCCGACTTTTCGGGGTAGAGGCTTGTCATAATGATATGCGTATTTTACCAGCCAAAGGCCAGCGAATTCCTGCGGATCAAACCTTGTGAAATCACGCATCTACTTTGGCGAGCAAGCAGTGAGCATATACAGCAGCTATCCCTCGCAGATCTTGAGACAAAGTTGTGTCGGCTTGAACGAATCTCCATTCGGGGGTTAACAGCGGGTTGCTTGTCTATTTTTGAGCATATTCTCGAACACTACACTTGTAGTAAACTTGGGCTGGATCCAAGTTGTGGGTTACTGTACGAATGAGAGCCATGTGGGTGTGGCCTGGTGCGCTTAAACTGATCTCAAAACCTTGCTGGGCGGACCGAGGGCTCTGTCTTTGTTTCACTGCTCTGCTTGCTGGCTGTCAACCAACATGATTTCCAAACCCTGGCGACGTGATACTCTCCCGGAACTGGAACGACCGAGGCTCGATGACGGAATGACGATTTTTGTTCAACTACACTTCGGAAGACTAACGCTATTTTCCCCCGATAGGAGTACTTTATCCAATCCGTTGGTCCCATCAAGCGAGTCGAGCTCTCCTACGGCCCTAACTCTCAAAGCCGCGGTATCGCAAACGTGACCTTTCACAAGTCGGATGGCGCTAGCAAGGCCTTCCAGAAATTGAACGGCCTTCTTGTCGACAACCGACCTATCAAGGTGAGCTACATTGGCACCTAGGGTTGTATCAGAAACTAATTTGGACAGATCGAGATCGTTGTCGGGGCTGCCCAGGCTGACAAGGTCATTCCTACCGTCAAGACGCTTGCTGAGCGCACCACGTATGTTATATACATTCCCCCGTTCCAGACAACCACTGACCCTCGACACAGTCAACCTAAGGCTCAACCTAAATCCGCTGCTGCTGACAAGCACAACGCCGGTGCTGCCAAGGGGACCGCTGCCAAGGGAGCTGCCGCCAAGAAGCGCCGTGGTCGCAATAGCCGTCCCGCGAAGAAGACCCAGGAAGAACTCGACTCGGAGATGGCTGACTACTTTGACGCCTCGGCCGCCCCTGAAGCCAGCAACACTGCTGCTGCGCCTGCGCCCGCACCAGCTGCTACCGGTGATGCTGATATGGATGAGATTGCTGTATGTAATGTTGGTCTTGGTCTGTGCAGCTGATACTAACTATGATGCTAGTAAATTCGTCAAAAGCGCCATGACAGTGGCATGAGACAATGATAAACTACAAAAACATGGGACCTGGTATTTTATGGACATTTTGCGGAAGGATACGGTAGTTACTCGGTTTAGTGCTGCAGCAGATTGATCCGAAATGAAAGAGGAAGAAAGGCCTTCGAGGTCGAACAGCGGAGCAGCTGGTTTTGCATTTGGTACTGTTTGGTCTCAGTTCTCACCCTTTACACGTCAAACTCATCAGTTCGGCAGCCACGTCTCAACGTTGCTTAGCAGCAACCGAGGGACCTGGAAATTAACTTGTATTGTACAACAGATGAAATAAGAAGCGCTTCATACAGACGAGTCTCCGTGAAGATATGATGACATGTATCCTATGATAAAGTATACTGACGCGGCATATTTTGTCCAGAATTATGCTTCGCTGTTTAGACATCCCAGTCATTGAACCGAGACTGGTCAATCACCATTTCTAATCCCAACACAACGCCCATGCCAAGTCATGAAGGGGTTCTAACGTAGACCTGCCTCAAGCACGAGCCTTGAAATCACCAAGCTACCTTTTTGACGATCACATTGACCAGATTTGCAACATAATAGTGAACACCGTGCGTGGGTTTAACAGTTTTTCCTTTTTTTTCTTCCATATCGTAACAGGCAATGTAGTCTTGACTACATATCCGAAAAATACGCCTGCCTTGGTACGGCACAACGCCAAAGTTACACAGCCTCATCCTGTACTGACTGTAGTTCAGAAATGCTCCTCTTTGGCAACGTCAAACATTCATAATTGAGAGGTTTAATCCTTCTTCTCGGTGGCAGCGGGGGCAGCGGCAGGGGCGGCCTCCTTCTTGTCGTCGCCCTCGAGGGCGGGCATGTCGTCATCGTCATCCTCTTCGTCGAGCTCATCACCAGCGCCCTCGGCACCAGGGAAGCCAGCACCGCCACCTCCCAACTTGGAGAAGTCAATACCGCCAAAGTCACCACCCATGTCTCCCATACCAGGCATGCCGCCTATTGAAATTTGTTAGTCACAGGTCAATTGGAATTTGTAATAGACTTACCCATGCCACCGAACTGGGAGAAGTCGTCCTCAGGGGCCTCGTTCTGCTCATCCTCATCAACCCACTTGTCGAAGTCGGTCTTGAGGAAGTGGACGCGCTTGGAGTCCTTGAGCAATCTGGGCCAGTACTCCTCCTTGAGCTCCTTCTTTTGCAGCTTTATCTCAACATTCTTGGCAGTGTGGTTGATCTTGCTCTCAGCGGGGTCGATCTCGCCCCAGAACTCGAGCTCGACATGGTACTTCTTCTTGAGAGTGGATGAGGTGCCGGTGAAGGTGAGCTTGGTAGGCTGAAGGTCGAGAGTAAGGCTGTCCTTGGGCACATCAGGGACAGAGATGGTGAGGTAGATGAAGTTCTTGGAGGCGTCGGCGACGGAGGATCGCTGGGCCCAGAGGACTGCGGGTGGTTAGCAGGTGAATTACAAATGATACAGAGTGTATGCGCAGAATGCGATCGAGATTGCAGCCGTGGAAAAGATTATCGGTAGATTGCATCTTGAAGACGGCATCAGGAGAGGGAGGGGGAATACGAGCACAAGGCTGGGGCTTGACAGGGACGAGCAATGACATACCTTCAGGGTAAACAGTGTCAGACATTGTGAAGGTTGAAGTAAAAGGGTATCTTATCGTATCGTGAAGTTGCGTGAAGGAGGAAAAATCAGACAGAGAAGAGAGGGAGAGGGAGAGATAAGGAGAAAGAAGTCGAAAGATGTTGCAGATGCAGATGCAGATGCAGCAGAGAAAGAGAAATGGAGACGGAATGGATGAGTTTTTGGTGGGCGGAGGAGGTGCAGCTTTACCTTAGCTTCTGTACCCAGGTACTAGGCTAGCAGTACAGTTAGTACCTAGGGTGAGCGTACTTTATTCAATCCGCCTTGAGGCTTTGCACGTTTGTCTGGTCACAGGCGGGATGGTAGAATGTCTAAGAAGGGGAGAGAATAGAGGGGCAATTGATTAGCAGATACCTCATCTGCCACCAAAGTATAGTGCTCTTTGAGGTACTCCCCTACCAGAACTTTTGAGTGCCTGCTCTGACGTTTGCCCGCCCCCTTGAACGTGGCCAGCTTTTCTCCACTATTACTGGGCTGTAGCTCCTAGAAGGTGCTGGAGCTTTGTCACCTCAGTTGGAGGTTTGCTGCGTACAAGCAGCTACGAGATGTATCCAGATGCAAATGCAGAGCAATTTCCGCTCAATTCTTAGGCTCCTTGCCTGAGACTCGATAATAATCCCTTTTGAACAGTCAGAGGCCATTGTTTGAAGTGACTCTTTATCTCTGTATTAGCAATGGCAGCCTAGTCCTACTACACGCGGCCGGCATTCGATGGCGGGGTAAGCACCGTATGCTGGAACCGGGGGCGAGCCAGTGTTGATCTTCCATTAACTAGTGCCCAGGTTCCAGGGAAGCTTTCAGCAGACCTCCCACTGAAACCCCTCCGGTCCCTGTTTTTGCTCACGGGCCAATTAAACCTCGGCCTGCCTATCACCTCAGCCTTGAGGCTAGTATCGGGCGAGCCTCACCACCATGACCCAACATCATTAACGACTGGCTGCGGCTGATTCGACGGCATCAAGACGCGTTGAAGTCTGGAAGTACTGCGCATAGGTTGACAACTTTTTCGGCTCCATCGTACAGATCACCGTACTGTACCGTACGTGCACATCCATACGGATTCTACTCCGCCATTTGGCCATCTTTACAGTTGCGTCATTGGCACGGGCATTTCCTACTTCCTTGTCCATCCAACGAACCGCCACCATGGAAACATTCAAATCTCTTTTTGCAAAGCCTGATCCCCAGGCTCAGGTACACACATCGGCCTATATCTGATTCCACATCATAGTCTAACATGTCTGGCGGTAGATGCGCAAGTGCAATGCGTTGATGAGGCAAAACATCCGCAAGATCGATCGAGATATCCAGACTGTGAAACAAGTCGAATACAAGACGAAGAACCTCATCCTCCAAGCCGATAAGCGAGCCCAGCGCGATCCATCCCGCGCCAAGCAAGCCCAACAAGAAGTTCGTGACTTTGCCCGTGAGCTCGTTCGCGCCCGAAAGACCTCAGCACGCCTCATCACATCCAAGGCGCAGCTCAACTCGGTGCAGATGCAGGTACAGGAGGCCTTTGCTGTACGAAAGATTGAAGGGTCCATTCGAGCGAGTGTCGGTATTATGAAAGATGTCAACTCGCTTATCCGTCTACCGGAACTGGCTGGTACTATGCAAGAACTAAGTGTGGAGTTGATGAAGGCGGGCATCATCGAGGAGATGGTTGAGGACTCGCTTCCTGCCGACGGCGACATGCTTATGGAGGACGAGGAGGCTGACGGAGAGGTTGACAAAGTCTTGGGAGAGATCCTCAAGGACCGCAAGCAGCCCGCTCTCCCTGTGGCGCCTGTACCGGAACCACAGAAACCCCAGGAGGAAGAGGAAGAGGAGGAAGATCCAGAAGCTATGATGGACCAGATGCGCAACCGGTTAGAGGCGCTCCGAAGTTAGTGTGCGTTTGGTGATGAGACTTGTTCGGTTAGTTGTTGCTTGATGATGCCAGTTGTTCTTCATCATGGGAGGAGTTGGGGGAGTTTGGCGTATCTACAATTTTGGCATACACTCGATCCTACAAAGACTTGTTGAGGACTATAGGGTTGGCATCACATTGTCCGTAGTTTGCACTACGACGAGATATATAACCGTGTTTCAAATGCTTCCCACCCTACACTTGATGGGGGTGAATATCATATATACTTCGCGCATCTCGCTTGCATGTTCTGTCTCTGTAAACTCGCCTTGCTTCGAGGGTCAGTATCGTAGTGTATTGCAGCCTTTGAAAGAGCAAGATTAACTTATGGTTTGGTCTTGGAGTCACTGAGCACCAGGTCCAAGGCTCATGTGACAACTTCGCAAATAGTGAGCACATATAACCAAGTTCGAGAAACTAATGCTTTTATATGTTTGAATATCAAGTTAAGCTCACTGCGAATGCCTCGAACCTCCCTGGAAGAGCAACCAACACTCCCGTTTTGCTGTTGAATGTATCACTGAATACTAAGACTTGACGTTCTGATGGTAAGTACACAGATGTGAGAAGAGCGGAATGCCATTAGAGTCACATATCCAGAATACTCTATCCTGCTAAAGGATACTACAGTGTTTACTGGGTGCTTCCTTGTCGTTGAGTTGCTCACAGAGCAAGTCCACGAATCCAATAGTCAACATATATATCTACGCCCAGCTTGTGATGTGCTGACATTTCAACCTGTGTGGTGATTGTGCACCTTATGCTGAATGCATCACATTTTCCATTTACGGGATATTTGTATCAGGCAGGAATGTTGGCTATCGTGTCTATATACGGGCAAAGTTCAGCTAAAGTAGTGAGTGAATCGGGTCAAAACCTTGGCTAGAACTCAAACTCGACCTACTAGGTTCCTGTATGATATATTATTTGGTTTTACATATGATCCAGCTTTTTATCTTGTCTAGAAACCGTTAATTCGGATATCTGTGTGTCTTTTGTTAGTTGAGTGTGTGGATAGCTACGGGCGAAAAGGACAGTATATTTGACATCTTTCTCCTACTACTGATGTATAAGTAGGAAATACTATGTATAAAAGACAGTAATCGATAGACTAACCGCAGATTGATTCGTTTCCTGGGCCTGTGCCACAGACATTGTTTTTCCAAGTATGTTTCTTATAACTCAGCTTCATCTCATCACACCAGCAAATGAACCTTCATGTCCAAAGGCTATCAACATATCAAATTATACCAAATATCTAATCAGATGATATGATTTCTGATCCAACTCAGCATTCATCGATAATACTCTTGATTTCGCCTTCAGATCTGTCATCCGCCATGTGTTCCACATCATCATGTAAATATAGTGGCCTACCCTGAAGCACACAATGCATCAAGGTGAGCGATGCCCAACTACCAATACTTCAGAAGCTGTGTGACCCAGGGAACAACTCAAGTCTCGGCCGAATGCTGGGTTACCCGATGTCATCACGGTAAACAAGGGGAAACAAGCAGGTTTGACCGATGTATTGTTGTTCACACCGGATAGTCACATCCGTAGATGGCCTCACTTCACTTCACCGCAATCAAACCGCTGCCACAGCACCCAATTTGAAAAAAATATCCATCGCCTAAGCTGTGACACCCTACAGTCACGTCACGTCACGTCACATCACAGAATCAATTAAATTTTTTTTTATATGTGACTCATTTCCTAAGGACAGCTGCAAGGGGCCAGACCAGATATAACTGCTGTCGTGTAAGTTAGACCAGCCAGCTCAACACTTTGACGATGGAGAATGGGCGCCAACTGCAAGCCAGCGCATATAAGCAGGTATGTATAACCTGAGTGTTGGGAAAGTGCATGCATGAGGGCCATTAGTGTCGTTGCTGTGAGTAAGAGTGTCTGCATGGCTGGTTTCAAAAGGCGGTATGCTGGCCGGCTAAAGGCCCTGTATGGCTACGGCTATGGGCATGGCTAGCTGAGTTGATGCGGTGAAGCTTGAGTGTAGCAGAATCTTGAAACACATTGATCGGTGTAGGATAAAAAGAGTCGAGTCGAGCCAACGACTCGAGATGCATATGCAGCAGGGCAAGGCTGCATGAGAGAACGCACACGCATTGCAGTGCAGTCGAGGGCGTGTTGTTATCTCTATTACCCGGCACTATCTACCTAGGTATGTAGGTAAGGTACCTATAGGTATTCACTGACTCTGAGACTGACTGACACTCAGCTTGACTGACCGCTTCTCAGAGCACGATTCAACGAGGTGACAGCTCACAAACAAAATTAAATACGAGAGGATTTAGGAAAAGAAAAAGTATATTCCAATAAATCAGTAGATTAATCAGGGAATCACAGGGTCAAAGCATAACAAACACTAATTGTTTCCTCCCCCTTACTCAAACACCAAGCAGGGGCAACAAGAGTATGTAAAGTGCCGTCTCGTCTCATTGTTTGTGTGTTCATATTCATCATGTTCAGAGCGGGAACTAAGAGGATCTTCCCTCGTGGATCGATTCCTTGGCTGACAATCACCCATCAAACAAACCCTGGGCAGGGAGGTTTTGCTTCTGCGTGGGGGGAGAAGAGGAGACTTTGGTGGGATGGGATGTGATAACAAGAACGAGTGAGGCCAAGTGTGATTTGGTGAGCTAAAGCAACGGATGCGAGATCATCGGGACGGTACGGCAAGCACCTGATCCGAGCCTAACGCTCTTGCCGCGTGAGACATGCTCTAGTCATACAGGGGCAAACAATTTTCATGTTCATTTGTGGTTATGGCTTTGCTAGGCGTTGTATTGGCAATTTGTTTGTTGTATTGAATAGCGGCATGGCGCTGTCACGACATATCACATCCAATCAGAAGCCTCCAAAAGTTTGAGAGAACAAAAGAGACAACTATTGTACCTATCCCCCTCATCAAGCCTCCAACCCCCAACATCCATGGCTTGCGAGGCGTGAGGCTGCAGCGGGTGATTGCTCTAGCTGCTTCGTGCCTGAGAATAGAGCTCTCACTGCAGTTGACGTTGGCTTGCTGTGCTTTGCTTTGCTTTGCTGTAAAGCGGTCAACC